ACAATCAGATTTTACCAAATTTAAAATTTCATCAAGAACGTAACAATCAGATTTTACCAAATTTAAAATTTCATCAAGAACGTAACAATCAGATTTTACCAAATTTAAAATTTCATCAAGAACGTAACAATCAGATTTTACCAAATTTAAAATTTCATCAAGACCGTAACAATCAGATTTTACCAAATTTAAAATTTCATCAAGACCGTTACAATCAGATTTGATCAAAATTAGAGCACATTTGTTTGGGCAGTATGTAGATGTTTAGCTAGCTCAACTATAACCATTACTCCTTTCACCCTGCTAATCAGAGTTTGAGATGGTGAAATAAGTGTCATCTGTATAAAGATCAATCTGCCTGTGTACTGCACCCCTTCAGTCTCCCCCTCTTAAGAAGTGCATGTTGGTTTTTGTTCAGTTTTATTTTTCATGTGAATTTCGCTCTGTGATGTTGGGTCTTATACAACTCACTGTTTTCTTTTGAATTATTTTTTGATTGTTTTTTTGAAGGGGTTCACAGTAAATAAGAATCAATCAGACTTTGTTTCAAAATGAATTCAGTGGCAACTGGCAAAGTCAGCTGTGACATGCAAAACCAGAAAGAGGGAGGAGGCTTATGGGTAACGTAGTCCAGTACAATAATTCAGCATAGAATCGGCATTCTCATGTTAGCCAAGAATAGTGTGTTTGACTCTAGTGTTCTTGCATGGTGAATCACTCTGATCGGCGATTATCAGGGGAAATCTCATCACAAGGATTAACAAGCTAAGAATGAAAACTACTGGTGAAATACACTCAAACACACGTTTTTGTGGAAACATTGGCTTTCTCTGCTCTTCACTAATTTGTACACCATATAAATGTAAACTGTTGTGAAAATAAATGGCATATCACAAAATACTTCAAATGTTTCTGTAGCCTAATGAGCTATTGAATGTAACTATTTGAAATTTTCTAATTGTTGTGGTGAAATTGTGCGATCGGCTTTTGGCCCACTGATTTTTAGGGGGTGGACCTTCATGCTTTGCATTTCTCTAAAAATCATATGTTTTGTACTAGTCAAATTGTACACATTGGATATTCATAGTTTACAAAATATTTGGGCCAATAAAGTGAAAATGAAAAGTGAAAGTGACATGAGGCCAAGTCTTGGAATTAGTGCTCTGCATTTAACCCATCCTGGGCAGTTGGGGGTTCAGTGCCTTGCTCAAGGGCACCTCAGTCGTGGTATTGAAGGTGGGAGAGAGCACTGTACATTCCCCCCCCCCACCTACAACCCCTGCCGGTACGAGACTCGAACCCACAACCTTTGGGTTACAAGTCCATCTCTAACCATTAGGCCACGACTTCCCCCTAATGAATATAGCTTTAGTGGCATAAATACTAAAGTCACAATGA